TATTTGTGCCTTAAATATAGACAAACTAAATATAAAAATTATTTAAAAGGAAGTATAGATATGAATATCTGCAATTGTTCGCTATTCAAAAACGTACAATAGCTGTAAAAATATTTATTTATTTTTATACCATATTATAATAATTGTTAAAAACGCATTTCGGACCACCGTGTGGTGCAAGATACGTCTAGCTTTGAATATTTTTTAATATTCAAAGAATTTATTATCTTTTTTAGGTAAAGATAAAGGGAGAATAATCTTGCAAATAAATATTAAACTTTTTTTTTGATTTATTTTACTATTTACTATGGAAATTTCACCGTAAAATTCGAAGTCTGAAATTGCCTGGGTTAAAATCGGAAATTGTAAGAATTCGATTTTTATCGGTATATACTATAAACTTGTCTATGTTATTTTTTGACGATTTTTTCTCAATTTGTATTAAAGAAATTGTATTAAAATTTTAGCTTTATCCTTCTAAAAGACGTACATTTATAATTAAGCAATATTGGTCTATTGTGTCACAACACTGTTTTTAGCAGTGAACAAATTTAAATCGAAATATTTTTCTCTCATATGGTTTTTTGATTTAGATTGAAAAGTTCATACATGACATGACCATGACCTGTTTGTATAACATAAACCTAAAGCTTTGATAATAACGATTCTCAAGTTTCTTAAGATAACTTATTTTAGATTGATTAATGATTGCGAAATAATAAGAGTATGTATCTTTTCATAACCATATGTTTTAGTATTTTTTTTGTATATGTGCTATACTTACGATATTATTAAAGTTTAAATAAGATGTAACACTTTATAATGAATATTGAATTCTAACTTAAGAAGTTTTGGATTATGCTGTATATATTAAATACTTTATTGTCTTGATATTGTTGTCTTAATATAAAGACAAACACTATTATTTTAGCTTGACGTCTAGATGACAATAAAAAATTTTCATTTGTATTATTCTTAAAAATTTTGAAAAAAATATTGACTTTGATTTCGATGTATTATTATTTTTTTTCAAAAAAAATATGTTTGCATTATTTTATATATGAAAACACAAAACTTTTTCGGAATAGTCATTGATTGTATGAAACTTATTTTTTATTTTTTATTTAAATCAAAATTTATATGGTTTATACGATTACAAATGTTATGGTTTATACGATTTTTTACAAACATTTCGACAAATTTAGTAAACTTTAAAGGGTATAAAAAGCATACAATTTTGCAAACACATTTAAAAATATTTTAAAAAGGTCATAAAGTTCATAAAGTATATATTAAAAAATTTTACGTAATAAGTAATAATATAGCCATAACCACTAGTATAAACTTTATAAAAAAAATCTACAGATGCAACCATTTTTAACACCTCTGCAATTAATTGGAGCTAATATTTCCATAATAAACCTCCAACTTTTCTGAAAAGTGCAAAACAACTTAATGAGTCAACAACGAAACTTAATTACTAAATAATAAAAAAATCTGATAGCTACTTTTTATAAATTTAACACCTACAGTTTATGACAAAGTTAACAGCTGTTCAAAAAAAAGTTCAGGTTAATTGTAAAACATTAACTTCTCAACAATAAATTTAGAAAATAATTTATAAAATATCTTTTTAATGATATTTGCAAAATTGGTTGCACATCTGAAATTATAAATAATTTAGTAAGCATGAGTGGAAAATTCGAAAAACTGTTGGCATTTAACACAAATATTCGCAAATACTTTTGTAATTAGTACAGACAATTTGAAAACACAAATGTTTGGAATTAAAATAGTTACTTGCACGTATGTGGAGCAATTCATTCTGGCATTAAAATGCAATAAAATGTGCATTTTTTGGGATCTGCAAGCGAAAATGTGGAGCAAATCAATTAAATTTGTGCAATGTGCACGTATGTAAAAACAAAAAAAAAATAGCAAAAAATTGTTGTTACATGTGCATATATGCAGTTTTAAACTACATAAATGCATAGAAAGATACTAACTCAAAACAAGAGATACAAAAAGTTCACCGTCCATTGTTAAGGCTAACCACTGTTCATTAAATATTTAACTAATTATTGGGCTTAGCTTGGCAATGTAAATTAATTAAAAATTTCAATGACGTTTCACAATTTCAATTAAAAATTCTCAAGAGGGGTAAGTATGCGTTAATGACGTGGGATTTACTATGCTGGTTAGACATTTAGCACACAGTACTCTCTAGCTTAAAATTAAAAATTTTTAAAGATTTTTGGATTGAAATAGGCTTTCAATGTAAATGTGATTCAATAGGGTTAAAATATAATAGGGAAAAAAATTTAGTTCATTTATTTATCAAAATGTTAAAGTTGAAATTTCAAACTAAAACAAATTTAAAAAATAATTTTTTTGAGCCCCAAAATTTTTTCTTTTTTTAATTGCAATTAAACAAGGTTAAACGTATATCGCCTGTGTAAATTAAATACACATGTTCTAAAATCATTTATATATAAATATATATTCATAAATATATATATATATATAAAATATTTGTTGAATTTTGCATTCAATCCGCTTTTTGTGTAACTCTGCTTTTACTCGTACCTTTCGTTTATTGGTTAATTTTAAATTAACTTAATTTATTTAAGAGCATTCAAGAATTTTCTAGGTTAAATTAAATAAAAGTTGTAAAAAAATTATAGAATAAAATAACATACCTTACATGGGCAATAAAGAGGTTATAGGGGAGGCAATAATAGTCTCTATTTGCTATATCACGATTGCATTATCTAAGCACGTTTATCTTAGTTTGAAGTGGTTTTTTGTAGATACAAAAAACTGCAGTCGCCAGTCGCCATAGCCGCAGTTATACTAAAGCCGAGAACAGATTTTTTTTTTGTTTTTGTTTTCTTTACAAAATGGCTTTGGGTATATTTTTTTTAATTTTAATGTATCTCGCGTATGACCTTCAACTTTATGTACTACATTTGAATTGCAAGTTATTTAAAATGCAATTTAAAATATTTGAGTTTGTAAAACATTTTAATTTGGTATTTGATTAAAATCAAACAAAGGTTAATGAAACTAAAAAGAACCAGCTTTACTAATCCATTGTTAGTTTAAGGTTTTTGTTTAATTTGTTTCAAACTTCTGAAATATTTGCAGAACTCTTTAAATATAATAAATCAATTAGATGATAGTAGATTTTCAAATACAAGTGATAAAAACCAATTTAAAAGAAAAATTATTTAACTACATAAGATGCTTTCAAATCAACCTTAATGGAGGAGAAAAAATCTTATATCTTTTTGAATATTTGAAGATCAGCATGTCAAATTTATTAAGTAGAGTATTTTACGACTCATTTAATAAATTGACTAAACATACCACCCTGATAACATGAATATATGCATATACATCAATATACCATATATAGCACAAACGACATGCTAAGAGACCTTAGAATAGACCCGATCAAAAAATACATATGGGACAGAGCCCTGAAGTTATATGCGAAAATTGATAGGCTATCCTACTTAGCACTATCTAATCTTAGAGTAATCACTCTCCGCAAGGGGACTTACGCAGATCTTAGATCAATCACTGGATAATCATGAAGCTTATAGGCAATACATAAATTAGTCAATGAGATGGGTGGGACCTTGTAATACCTCCAGCTGTCAAAGAGTATAAGTGCCAAGTTGCACTGACTCGAAAAAAGGATCAACGTACATACATATACCATATTACGTTTGCAAATACCTATAAAGTTATTAATCGTCAAATTTTCGAACTAAATTGGTCTAGATTTATTTTATAAGATCCTTGTCTGGCAACTAAAATCTTGTTAAAACATAGAGTTTGTATACTTATATATTTACTTTGATTTCAGTATTAAGTTAGATATTTTATTGATGCAGCATTATACTGTTAATATAATTGAATATTATTAAAAGGTCGTGTGCTAATGTAAGATTGGTACCGGAAGATAGAGCATAACAATTTACTGGATCCTTTTTCTAAATTTTTTAATTTTCTATTGTGAAAATTATCTAATTATTTGTTTCATATGTTTGAAATAATGTCTGGCTGTCTAGATACTAATATTAGGTTCTTGAAAATATTGCCTTTTGAAAAGCTATATTATAATACTTTTTATTAAAATTGTATGTATTTGTATTTTGGACTGCACGGGTTGGAATCCACAGATAGTCCGATTATCAATAAAAAGAATATGCAATAAATATCTTAATAAATCTCTTTATATTATTCTAACAAATTATTATTG